CTAGGGTCAGATTGCCCCTTTTCAGGGGCTTAGGTGCTAAGGGTCAGGGAACACCTGGCTGACTGGACGCCGTCTGAGTCGGGATTTGTTTGGCCATCAAAGCCGCCACCAATAAAAGTGGCAGACAAAGCAAAAATTCCCAAAAAGATTCGATTTTGGCGCGTGGCAACACAGGCAGAAAAGTTTGAAGTTGGTAATAATTGATAATACATTGAAACAGAGCTGTAAAATTCGGCGTTTTAGATGTAAAAAGAGGGTACTAACTTTTTGAAAGTAGAACAAAAGTTTTTTTTACAATTATAAGTATAGCTAAATTTGTATGAAACGTTTTGGCCAGTTTTTGTATTTATTGCTTGATTTAAATGCATATATTGAAAAATTATTCATATTTATTTGGAATATTTTTCTTCAGTATTTAAAGTTTATAACTTAGAAGTCTCCCAGTTTTTGGGTGTTTTTGGGTGAGCCTTGGATGCCTGGTTTTTCCCTAAGTGCACACTCAACCCGAATCCCTCGCTGACCGCCCGCTGCTGACCCTCCATTTAGGTGCCAAAGGAGTCCCCGATGCGGATTCCGGGTCCGTCGAGTTATATAGAAATCATGGCCATCGAGGTGGCACACGCACTCGTCTCGTGGCAGGGCCATTGTCCGCCGGCCGTTACAAATTGTTGTGGGCGTTCCAAATCCGCTTAGAGCTCGCCTTTCTCCGGCTCATCCCTTCACTTGGAATTTAATTTTGTGCGAGTTTTGATTTCGCCCTGCGAAGCGAGTCGCATTTCATCTTGTGTTTGGTTTTTGAGCGTTAAATCGCCAAATCCTTCGTTAATTTTGACGTTTGTCTTTGTTTCGGGAGCGGTAAAGAGGTGGAGAACTGGATAGGTCAGGGTGTGGCCCGTCGATGACCGGTGGTCAGTGGATGAAATAGATGACCCATACTAGGGGTGCAACCGGAAGAGGAAGGAGAAGGAGCCGAGCCACACATGTGGGTGGATGGGAAAGCAACTGCTCGTCGGCTGGAGATTAAAAATTTAATTCGAAATTAGCGCAATTGTTGGAATTGCTCCCTTTTTTCGATCGATTCGAGTGGAAAGACAAACAAAATCGATGACTGTCCGGCAGCTGTCGCTTACCCGCTCCGAATAATGGCAACAATTTCCTGATTGCTTCTGACCCTTCAAATGCGTTTTATGGTTATCAAGGAATGTCAATTTTCATTCTTCAGCGATTTGATTTGGTCAGTTCGAAGTAAGGGTTTAAATTTGGTAAGAGAAGGCAATTAGTTATTGAGAAGTGAAGGGTCCAGTCAGTCATTTTTGTATAGATACTTACAGAAACATCATCACTTAAATATACTAAATTCAACCATCGAATAAATAATAATATAAATACCTACCTATAAATACACAACTATTCTTGATATTTTACTTTCAGAAGTGTTTAACTTAAAAACAAATAAAAGGGAAATATTTTTAAACATTTTTTTATTTTGATGATTAAACTATAAGTCCCTCCACATTAAAATGCCTCTTAAAATTGAAAACCCTCTTGTATGTTTATTAAAATACCATGATGCCAAGTTATAAATTTGTTCTGTAATAAAAAAAAGACATAGTAAATCTATTATTTCAACGTCCAACTGAATGTGGGAAAACGGGATTCTTTCAAATTAAAATTCATCGTGTAAGGGAAGTTAAAGCCCAGAAGATTCTGAAAGTATCACAGATTGCAGTTCACACTTTTTCCATTGAAAATGGTGTCTAATTTCGCTGGACTGCTGGACATATCAATCAACTGCTAAGAAATTAGATCAGGGATCCGGTCAGCGATAATATCTAGGTTTCGGGATGATGGGGGTGGGAAATGACCATAAAGGCCAAACAATGGCGTGTTAATGGCAACTTTAAACTGACACCACTCCACGCGAAGGTTAATCGCTTCCAGGCCGGACACTGACCACCACCCGCTGATATCTGGACTAGGGTTAGGAATCGGGTCTTGGGATTCGGCATTCGGGATTCGGCGGGTGATAAATGCATCGGACCCAGCGGGTGGCCAATAGAGTTGTCAACTCGCTGGGCTAAAACAGAGCTGCCATGCCCTACGCGGGCAGCTGGGATTACACACACACGAAACATGAAAAATGGGCCCCATGGGGTTTTTTTTAGGGGTATGATGGCTATGATTCAATTACGCTCAATAGATATGTCACTGGCAAATTTTGCATATTAATTGAATTGAGGCCGCACACACAGAGACAGAAGGAACGACTGCCCCGGGACACTTGAACTGCCAATTGATTTTTGCGGTTTTTCGACAAAAATGTCAAACAAATTGTGCAAATTTTTTAGCCGCTCTTGGCCACGCCCTTATCAACACTACACCAGCCCATGTAGCTCGTTTTTTATTTTTTGTATTTGGCCAGGTGTGGCTAGTTGCTGTCGCCTCTTGTTTGTTTTGCATTAAACGGTTTGTTTTGCTAACCAAAGTGTTGATTTTATGGCCGACCAGCCCGCTTTTTTTTCGCCAGCCCCCAACAATGCGAAATCGGAGCTACTGAATCAGCCAGTTAACTTCTAACAGATATGTGCAGCGTATATATCATTTCAATCTCTGCAATTTGCAATTTATACGCTCTCGACAAGTTAGTGTTTGTAGAGTGGGAGTGTCGGCAATTCGTTAGACTTATTATTTTGTTCCTTTTTTATTTAAAAACACTAAAATGGTTGTATATCAGAATCCTTAACAGATTATGAGCAAGTCATGGCTATAAACTAATTTCATCTGTAAGTCAATTGCTTTAAAAATAATATTTTTTTTGCTTGCTTCTTAAAGAGTAACATTTTCTTTTTTTTAAGACAGAACTTCTTTTTTAGATTTATTTAAATAGTCTTTGTTTACCCAGAAATAAGACTTAAGTACCCTCAATTTTTTAGTTTTAAAATAGCCCTATCTATGGAGATATCTATTCAATCTTCTGACTAAGATGGATTACCCTAAAGCCATCTAACAAAAACTATCGCCTGAACATAGGGCACCATAAAACACAATACAATACTATACATTTTATCCGTACTTAATATAACTTTGTGTAGTGCCCCATAAACCCTTCATTACACGGCACTAAAGCCGCGGCAATAAAAGCAACTACAGCAACTAAAACCCGAAAATAAAAACTCAATTTGAATTCAAAAACCACCAAAATGGTGCGTGCTTATCGCCTTGCCTTTTCCTTTGGACCCCGACTTCAACCTAAACCTAAACCTCAACCCGAATCTGAAATTAAACCTGAACCCGATGAGCTCGATAAAGCGACACAAGCGGTCTAGAAAATAAATTAAAAATACATTTTTACGTAAATGTGGCACATTAAAAGGCGACTTGAGGAAAGCACATAATAAATATAAAAACACAATTAAATAAGTGCATAGAAAACAAATTCGAAACGAAAAACAACCGACAAAGTACAAAGACAAAGAAAAATAAAAATAAAAATGGGAAATAAAAGAGCACACGAATTAAAATAACACCAAGATATTTCAACTACTCGCCGTGAAAGGGCAATAGCAATCATAGAGCCTCTTCCTAAAGACCCTAAAAAAACAAGTTCAATGGGTTCGGTGAAAAGCCCGATATAAGGAGGATCTTAAAAGGCATTTAATTAAAATGAATTTTTGATGATCTAAACAATAAATTGCTTAAAAGTTTAGATACTGACACTGATGCAGAATTGAGTAGTAAAAATACAAATCTATTTATTAAATATTTAAATTAATATTAAATACAATTTAATTTGATTTAAAAATATTTTATTTATGTTAAATATGGCTTTAATTTAAATTAAGTTTGCAAATATTAAAAAAAAAAAACAACATTTTTGGTTTAAATTTTATTTTTCCTATTTAATTTATTTATGGTTTTCCATATATGAGGTCCACTGTATTAAAAGTCCGAAATGCCCACAAATAATCACAGCTGACAAAAGAGGTGTTAGGACAAGACCCAACCGACTCGAGAAATGTTAATGTAAATTTCAATTGTTTTAATTTATTTGTGACCCCTTCGCCAAACGCCAAACCGTCACAGACTAAGTAAATGTTATATATACAGATATAGCACGAAACAAAAAACTGAATTAAAATGAAGTCAAAAAAGTCGAGTGATTGTCGGCTGGCTCTATTCTTTGGCCTATCTGTCCAAGACGTGACTGGCATTCCACCCAGGGATCCGAGGTCCAAGGGTTTTATGGAGGGAAACGGGAACGGGAACGGGAACGGAACCAACTGTCTCCGCGTATCTGGAGCACAACGAATGGTCTCATAACCGGAGCGATTCCATATAGTTTACTGAACTCTCTGCCTGCTGCCAGCAAATAAATTAGTTCATCCGAAAAATCCGCTTGTAAAAAACGGAGCGGAAAAGCGAGGAAAAATGCGGCAGAATGAATGTTCGATGAAAAATGCGTTCGGTTTACCATTAATCCAGTGCCCTGATCCAGGGCGACAGATCATTACACACGCGCGGGTCTTTCAAAAAGGGAGGAGTTCTTCAAGTGGAGGGACATGCGACATGTTTGGAGCCCCCGGAATCGTAAGTATATGTAAATTTATTAATAAAAACTCCCGAAAAAAACGGATGCAGAAAATGGGAGGGTGGCTCTGGTGCAGTTGCTGCCTGTCCGTAATTTATAGACCCGCTGCCAAATGACATGCTAACTAATAGTATCATCATAATTTATACATACAAATACATTGCATTTGTTATTTATGCCCCTGTGCCACCCCGGTCCACCCTCCTCTCCTGATTTCCATACAGATCCCTGCTGACAGAGTTCACAGCACCCGCGGGGTCAGAAGGTCACCCCGCTTTAATGGCTCCGTTTGACCCTCGACTATATTTGAATATCGATTACAATTAAACGGCAGAGCACACGTGATTATAGATTGATAGATGTGCCAAATATTTGTGAAAGATTTATTAGTCCCTCAATCTCTAAACGCTCATTAAACGGAAGATTTCGATTTATTGTCAAAATAAATAGAGTTTTTTTTTTCAATTGCCAAATTTACAGACGCCGTTAAATGAGATTATTACCAAGTTTTCCCGAGTTCTCTAATTGGATATTAATAGCGGATCTTGGGAGCCACGGACTGGCTTAGAACCAACTACCTCGATGGGATTGCGACGGGTTGGGATCATTTAGACCTGTGAACGGAAAATTGCATTTCATGTTGTCTATAATCATTCAGTATTTTTTACCATTCGAGCGACTGGAGTAGCCTGCAGCTAACCTTTGACCTCCACGCATGAAACCACCGCCCATGCCACCGCCGAGACCATTGCTCATGCCCCGATTCATGCCCGGATTCATGCCAGATTCACTCATTCCCATAGATTCAGACATTCCATTACCCATTCCATGACCCATTCCATGACCCATTCCTTGACTAGATTCGTTACCAACTCCTTGGATCATAGCTGGGCTAAAATAATTCTTTAAAAGTATTTTTCGAGAAAATTAAGAGGTTCCATAGCCACTTACCCCACTTGAGAGTGTCCATAGCTGGGCTTAAAGTTCGTGTACATGTTCAGCATGTTTTGGTTGTAGGAGCCGAAGGGATCTCCTGGCGAAGCCTGATGTGGATGTAATCCCGATCCGTGGGGACTTGAACCGTGCATAAAGTTTTGGGTGTTGGCCTGATTCGAGTGCAACCACTGACGTCCACCGCCACCCGGAGGCGAAGTGTTGGATCCCATCTTAAAAAATGTTTTAGTCTGCACCGCAATCACTGAAATTCCAAGACAATCTTACCTGAGAGCTGTACGGATTTCCCTGACCGCCATGACTGTACTCCCAACTAAATTCTGGACCGTTCTCCATCTTTAGAAAACCAGACAACTTTTCAAATAATTTTTGGAATAATTTTTTTTGGCCGGTTGTTGTTCTACCAATCTGTTACCAAACTGAGTTTCGGAATGAAAATGAATGGAAGGCTTACGAGTCAGTTAAAGTAAACATGACTGTTAGACCAAAGGATATATGATTAACAAATTTTTAAAGTACAAAAAACCTTTCAAACATTAAACATATATTTATTTATTTTAAATTTATCTCAATTCTAAATCAAATCTCAAAAAATATTAGTTACTTTAATGTTGTATATCATAAGCAAAAACCAGTCTTATTTCCAGTCTTTGTCTTAACGGAATTTTTGGAATCATGCTGAGATTTCGGAGTCACATCTGAACATTTCCCACAAAATCTTAGTCATTAAATTCAAATTGTGCGCAAACACGAAGTCATAATATACATTTTTAATCACCATCTCGAGTTATGGACAATAAGCCGTTAGCCTATTAATGGCATTTAAAACAGCTATTTAAATTTATTGAATTAGTGGTTTAAATGTCTTGGCCTCTGATTTATGGATCTAATATCGAGATGCTGGTAGATAACTAAATACATGTTTAAATAAATGTGGCGTAATAAAAATTAATTATGGCAATATTGTTTAAATTAAATAAACGATTGACTATTTAAAGCGATGGTAAAAGCTGGGCTTAGAACAAATATTAGGAAATGTTTGAAATATATATTAATAAAGATATTTCAATGACCAATAAACAAAATATTTAAGCATTTGTGCCACACTTTGGTAGATATGAGACCTTATCCTTCATACTCCGCCTGTCTTTGTAGCGACTTCCACCTGTACTCACCGCATGCAGCACAGCTGTATATTTTGCCCCTTGAAAACCAGTTCCCTATCGATGCGAGTATTATTTATGTGCTTTGTCGATCGCCGATACAAAAGGCCAAAGGCTGACCTACAAAGGAACAGCAGACAATGGCAGATGACCTCATAAATTGCCTCGTTATGAGGTTCATAAACATATTATTGCTTCATATTCATAATGCACTTCAGGCCAAGTGTCGGCATGTCCTTGGACCAGAAATAGTGTCTACCTGTCGGTCCAGAATTGTATTGCTGGAGCCCTAAGATTTATGGCTGCAATGGGCAGAGCTGAAGGCACGTTAGCTCTGCTTTTTTAGCAGCAATTTAAAATGCATAAAATATTTGATGGTCCCTTTAACTCAAAACAAGGCATCAGGCAACGAACATCCCCCCCATTTTGATCATCTCCCTGATGGCTAATCCCATTTAATGGCATTCGTGCGGTCTTGGGCCGTAAAATTGTTTTGTCACCTGTTGAAAACATTTTTTATTTTTAATTGAAAAAATCTGTTGGGAAATGCCTCGAGCTCCAGAGCACACAAAAAATTTCATAAATTTCTTGGTCACCCATGTCGAGGGGGAATATGTTTTCCATTCGATTGTTGCTCTCTCTCTAAATTTTTTCACCGAGTGTCTGGCTATTTTTGTACGCTGGGAAATATGAATTTCAACCGCTTAAAGTCCATCCTAATTGCTGCCAATTAACACCTTCAATAAGCCCGAATGCCAAGAGCTCATTTGTCAGGGCCACGGGGGCGTCCAAATGCCTTGTGGCCCCAGAAAACATTTTGATTTATCAACTCTTTTTACATTCCCGACACGAGTGCATCGATCAGAGGCGGAGGACACGAAAATAGCTGCTCGGGGGAGTCCGACTTGCTGGAGTCATCGGAGTCATCTGCATTAAGATCCGACAACGACAACACTCGAATCGATTTAACTCTTTGACCCCACCCACCCAGGTTTCGATGAGATGGGAGTCGACAGGCAACACATGCGAGGGCCTATTAAAAAAATTGTTTATGAAAACAAACATTTTCGGGGCAATTAATCATCGCCATTGGCATTGGCGCGTGGGGGAACTGCAGCCATAACCCCTTCATCTGCTGCTGCTGCTGATGATGATGATGATGATCTCCATCTCCATTTCCATCTCCATCTGCAGTAGCTGGCTGAGTGCCTCGAATTTTCATTAGGAAATCGTTTTATGGTTCCAATTTGGGGAACATATTGCGCAGGGGGAGAGTGTTAAACGTCTGCCAATTAGTGTTGCTTGTTGGATCTGCTGTTGCGATCGTTCTCTTAATTGGCTAAAATATGAAAGGCCTTTCGCTTAATCACTGAAATAAATCGTCGTTCATCAGAGAATAAAAAAAAAGTACAAAAAATCAGTGAATTGCTAACAGAAACAATTAATAATAATATTAGCAGTAATCTAAATGAAAATGGAAATAACTTGTTTTAATAAATACACTGATAAATAAATGAAATAGTAAAATTAAATAGCTGTCTTTTGAATTCAAAATTTAAGACTGAATATTTAAATTCAAAATTAAATCATAATTTTAAATGCAATGCATATTAAATTACATACTTTAATTAAAAATACGTATGTTAATATTAACAAGAAAGAAAGCAAACTTCGGCAAGCCGAAGTTCATATACCCTTGCAGCTATCGCAAGAATTAAATATTTTTGAAAACATTAAAATTATGATTTACTTGCGTATATGTTTAAAAACATTGAAGCTATGTCGATTTGCAGCATAATTATTTGATTGTTCTTTTATATATTTTTATTATTTGTATGGGAGCTATATGATATAGTCGTCTGATTTTGATGAAATTTAAACCATAATTCTGAAATATTTAACCATTGCTATATGTCGAAGAACTAAAAAAAAATTAAAAAACAGCAAAGTTATAATTTTTTTCAATTATTTTTCCGATTGTTCCTATGGGAGCTATATGCTATAGTCGTCCGATTTTGATGAAATTTTAACCATAATTCTGAAATATTTAACCATTACTATATGTCGAAGAACTAAACAAAAAATTAAAAAACAGCAAAGTTATAATTTTATTTCAATTATTTTTCCGATTGTTCCTATGGGAACTATATGCTATAGTCGTCCGATTTTGATGAAATTTTAACCATAATTCTGAAATATTTAACCATTGCTTTATGTCGAAGAACAAAACAAAAAATTAAAAAACAGCAAAGTTATAATTTTTTTCAATTATTTTTCCGATTGTTCCTATGGGAGCTATATGCTATAGTCGTCCGATTTTAATGAAATTTAAACCATAATTCTGAATTATTTAACCATTGCTATATGTCGAAGAACTAAACAAAAAATTAAAAAACAGCAAAGTTATAATTTTTTTCAATCATTTTTCCGATTGTTCCTATGGGAGCTATATGCTATAGTCGTCCGATCCGGCTCGTTCCGACTTATATACTACCTGCAATAGAAAGACAACTTTTGGGAAAGTTTCATCCAGATAGCTTTAAAACTGAGAGACTAGTTTGCATATAAACGGACGGACAGACGGACAGACGGACGGACAGACGGACGGACAGACGGACATGGCTAGATCGACTCTACTAGTGATGCTGATCAAGAATATATATACTTTATAGGGTCGGAAACGTCTCCTTCACTGCGTTGCAAACTTCTGACTGAAATTATAATACCCTCTGCAAGGGTATAAAAATGTTAGATTTAAAATAGTTCCAATTTGATTAAAGTACAATTTTTATAAATCAACTTTCTGAGGTCGAACTTAGAAATTCTCTTACAATATTTCATTTAAAGGACTTGATAACTTGGCTCATACACTATTTTAACAACAGTTTCAAAATAGCAACAGCAACTTCTTAAAAATATAAGTTACAAACTCAATAAGCTCACAATCTATCTCAATTCCTTTTTTGTATCCCAAAGATTGATATTTCACAACATGCAATTTTATATCTACCTCTTATAGTATTTCTTTGTTGTTGATGGTTATTGTTGCTGCTGTTGTTGTTGTTGCTGACAATTTGCGATATAAAAACTGATGTCCTGTCCGGCAAATATCCTCAGGGGGTTGGCCGGGATAGATGGGATGGATCTCTGTGTGATTTGATTGTGAAAACCGAAACAAACAAAAGTAATTTTTGAATGAAAAGCAATAAATTTGAGAACATTTATTGGTTTTTGGCTGGCTGTCATGTGCCAAAAGCGGCAGCAACAACCGAAGGGGCATTGCTTGCATCATTTAGCCCCGGCTTTATGAGTCTCACAGATAGAGAGGAAAAATATATATATATATAACCACCCACAGATGGACAGATAGTTGACTCCTTCTGCAATTGGGGGTTAAACTTGGGATGCTGACGACTTGCACTGAAAAAAAATGATAAAAATTCTATATGACATAAAAATAAGAAAATGTATTAATACTTAAAAACCACTTTTAGTATTAGGTATTAAAGCATGCCAATTTAACTTTGCCGAATACAGAGAAAATAAAATTCTTGAGTTTATGTCCGAAAAATGGTTAGGAGTTCCAGCGCACAGAACAAAATAAAGACAAGCAAGAATGAAGAAACTTAAGAATTATGTTGTTTTCTTAAGCTAACATTTCATAGATACAATATGTTTTGTGTAGTGCAGTTTTAAGGAGCACTTGAGCGGGTTTCCGTAGTTCGGGCCTCGTCATTAGTCCCCGCATGGCGCGTGCCAGGGGTTTTTCTATGGGTCCCCGAACAGATCCCGCCAAGGCCGTAGAAGTGCAGCGACAAAGGGCCGGAATACTTCCGCTCGGCAGTTGCAGGAGGAACACTTTCGCATAAAAACAATAACAATAAACCCGAAGCGGGATATGCAGGACAATGGAGGTGGTGCCCTGCGGTGGTCAGGTCCAATGAAATCCAATGAAAGGGGGTGGACCCGGTGACCAGTGGTCAGGCGTCAGGGGTCAGGGATCAGGCAGTTTAAATTGTGTCATGTTCGCATTTGGGACACATAGGGCCTTTTAGACCATTGTGACGGGTTCAAAATTGAAATATTACACTTTTCATTCGAAAGCGCCGCTTTGTCAGCAGCAATAACTGTGAAATCAATATCGGAACCTTTGGCGACCTTTTGCCAATCTGACAGATGACCCGAACGTCCTTCTGCCCATTCTGTCCCTTGGCAGGACATTAACTAAAACCAATTTCCAGTGAAAATTAATGTGCCATATATGACGCTTCAATGAGT